CATCTGCTGATGGCGCCCCCATAACTTGCAAACAAAAAATATATATATAATTTACAATGTTTATACCACTTTTAACAGTTTGACCTAGACTAGAGAACTGGAATAACGCAACTAGAAAGGAGGTAAGTAGAAGAGTACACGCTGAATTTGTTCTTTCTTATATGAAATTGAAAAATTAAGTATCTTTGTCAAACAAATTTTTAATATGCATTAGTTAAAATTATTGCAACTGTTAGATCTAATTATAGGAAAATTGAAATAAGTCTATGAGTAAAAATCCGTGACAACATTATGTGTACTACTAGTACTACTCTTTTAGTGTTACTATTACTATTAGCCATTACAAATGGATCATTGAAATTAACAACGGTTTGTAAGCACGATAATATTTTTCGATAAAACATATTGCATTAAATTTGTAGGATGTTCTTTACAATAAACATTATTGTACTAACAAATCGTTGTTAATTTACTCCTATATATGCTTCTCTACACAACCAAATAAATCGTACAAGAAATAGAATTTAGAAAACTACGGTGAATTAGTCACGTTGTAGATGTCATTGAACGTAGTCATGTGATATTTTAAAATGTTTAAACACATTTACAGTATGTTTTAGCAATGTTGTACATTTAATTCAGTATTCTGTTTGTGTAGTTTTATATTTCGGGAGCCCTTAGGACGACAAACAACAAATAGTGTTGTTACTACTGGTACTACTCATTATAGAATTTGAGAGACAATTGCTAATAATACGCATGCGTGGTTTAACGAAATTTTATTTATTTTCCTCTACATTTTCAATCGAGTTATTTGGTGATGACGTAATGTGAAATTCAAAATACGTGTTTAAAACCCAAATGGGTCAGGGTTTTTGATAAGTTTAGCTCACTCTCGGCATGAACTTTCGTTGATCGAGTTTTGGATGCAAGTTACATTTAATTTAAACTATGGAGCTGCATGTACAGTTTTATAATTTTTTTTCCAAGTGGCTATTGACACCGATAAGAAGGTGACGATTATAAACACGATAACACTACTGACACAAACAACAGTAAATTAAATTAAAGGACGGGAGGTCCTATGCCGAAGTGCATATAGTTTGCAAGCTGCTACAATCACCTTATAAGATCCTTTGTTTTTAAGGTGGTCTAGACCAGTTTTAAATTTCTGGAAAGAAGAAAAGCTTGTCACAACGCGTATGTGTTGATATTCCTCCCTGCTACTGCTACTAGTATTAGTACTAGTATCAATCGGCTCATGATGACTAATGTCGTCATTTTGTAAAAAAAATCACGTGAAATATTGGGGTCAGTCAGGGGAGCTAAGTTAAACTGTTGAAACAAACAAAACCATGGCAGTTATTTCGGTTTAAATTATTTGACTCCAAACAAAGGTTTGAGTTCAAATAAACCGGGTGTGTTCAGAAAATTATTTTCTTCTTACCCCGCTCTAGATTTAAGATTTCGCGGTTGGCTTAATGTTAAAATCGTAATCAGTGGTTAAGAAAAAATTCCAAAAAACATATACATACATATGTATACACATGCGTGCTTTCTCTCACCGGAACCTCTTGGCATTTTCTATGAGATGTTGATGTCAATAGCTTTTCTGTAGCAGTGACTATCACCCGCCAGTTAAAATACTGTTGTAGTAAATCAGTGGCTTTTATTCCCATCACTCTTATCGGTGGCAATATATTTTTACTGTAATTGTAAAGTATAATATTGTGCATACAATGTATAATGTAATACTAATAGTAATACACATATTAGTATGGTAATTATTGAGTTTATAATATGTAGAGAAATGGTGTAATTAGACTAATTACATGACTGTAAAATTGAAAGCTGGTCCTTTTAAATAAGTAGCAAGGTGAATGGCTTGTTGTTCACTATTCCACCCATTCACTCTTTAAATGATTTTAAACTATGACTGGTAAGTCTTTATGCTTTCTATTATAGTCCGTTGATTTCTCTATTGGCCAATGTTGAACTTGCCAGCTAAATTCTGGAACTGGATTTGCTAGTGTCATGGCTGGAGTAGTCCAAGAATGTCCTTCAGTAACAGGTAGCACAGCAGTAGTGTCATTGATGTCTTTCACACATGCACTTCACTTTTGACCTCATCAGTGTCCTTGTGTACTCTTCAATCTTGTATTCCTTCTATACATCCCTTATGGCTTCATTAACATAGCATGATAACAAACACTGACAACAACTATTTATTCTGAAATAAAATTTCTTTTTATCTCAACTTGTCTCGCTCTTGATGCTTCATGGAATGTCTTTTATAATCTACTTCTGTACTAGAGGTTTCTAGAACTAACATAAACTTAGCATCCCATTGCATCATCAAAAACCCACATCTCCCTCTGGCTAACAAATAAATTAATACATTACAGTATATAATAAAATCTTGATGGAGTGAAGAGAAATGCATAGTTGTACTTTTTGTGTGCAGTACTAAGATGTTAATGATCTATCCTGATACACTGCAAATCTTAGATTTTGTGTTTCAATGTTGGGATCTTAATTTTCATACTTTTCATTAAATTTTAGTAATACCTATAAGACATGATGCTTTTTGAGCCAGATGTGAAAACAGAAAAGGCAACATTTGCCCTATCATGATTTTGGTTCCCTGAGGCACAGTTTGGATGTGCCTCAGGGGTTATAAGGACACGTGTGGGTTATACTGGTGGACAGAAATCCAACCCAACGTACCATAGCCTGTAAGTAAGAACCTCTTTTCTTTATGAATACTTCAACATTTCTTATTTTGATTGTGTTGATTATATGTAAAATAATTTATTTAATGGTTAATTAATTGGTCTAATCCTAGTGTAATCAATAGTTTACAAAAACAACAAATTTCCATGAAGTGGCATTTCATTTACTGAAGTTGTGTAATGTAAACCACCACATCTACATACAACTGGTTAATCTAAAAATTTGTCTTTTTATATTTGCTGATACTTTTGATTTTAGTCAGGCATGTTGTGTAAAGACATCAATTTTTAAATGTCAATGCTGCATAGTTAAAAATTAAAATTCACTCCACACTTTTCCACCATAAGTTATTCCATAATTTTGATGTAAAATTTCTTAGGTATCATATTTCAGTTATTACATTTAAAATATTTTGAAGAATTAGTTTAATTTTCAGTTTTGGTCCTCACTACTCAACTTCCTTTGTACTCAACAGTACAACATGTTATTTTTGTGGCTTATTGATACAGAAATGTATTAAACTCCTGTAATATTAAATGTGCCTTAATAGTTATTATAAAATGTTTCTTTGATTCCCTGTGATAGACAGAGTATTGATGGTCTATTTTAGATCTTTTTGATAAAACAAAAAAGCTTTTACAGAATTGTGAAAAAACAAAATTAATTGCTGTAAATAAACATCCAGATTATAGTTTACCCCAGTTAATAGAAATATATTAACAACCCATTTAATCTTCATATTTTATCTTAAAAAAGAAAAAGCCAACCTTTGTGGCAAAATGAATACATTAGATGAATTTTGAAAATATCAGTAGTATCTGAGGATTAGGTTAAAGGTGAAAGTTTTTGTAGGGATAGGACAAATATTAGTTTTGGTCAAATATCTTATATGTTTGGATTAGATAGTAGACATGGCCATACACATTGAAAAGTTGGGGCAAACATGAGCTCCCACTTCATTATGGTATAGTATTAAACTAGTTATTTCTTCATTGTTTTTAATTTAATAAGGATGTGCACAGGGATGTACAGTTATGCACAAAAGTGAGCAGCCATTACTGGCCCTTTAAGGGAACGTGGCATGTTGTAGTGTGGGGCAGTTCTTTACTCTCCAGTCCTCTTCTGAGACTGTTGCTTGGATTGTGATTGCCATTCCTGTTACTGCCGCCACCAGGACCACCTGTACGTGCATGCATTTTGAACACAATGGTTGGGTGTGATGTTTAAGCTACATAATAACTATCTATATTACAACCACTATTAAATTCTGGGGAAAATTATGTTTAGAAGCTAGTAGAAGGTGGCCAAAGGATGCACATGTAAATGGTATCATTCTGGTGGAATATTTTGAGGTAATCATTGAAGGAAATGCTATTTGATTCCTTGCAAAATTAATATCCTATCAGATCAGATTTCATCGGATAGTGTAAGGGTTTCCAACCGAGGATTGTCTAGTTCTGAATCCCAAAATTATTGGACCATTTCTTACAATATCAATTTTTTAAAGCACTTTTATATTACGTTATAAAAAAATTTCTTTAGTATTTGAAAACACTTTTTTTCAACCATCATGTGGACCAATTAACAGATTAGGAACCACTGGGATAGTGCAATATCCAATCAGTTTAGATATTTTTTGTCTCATCTCTGTTTTCTTATTTCGGTAGTTTTCGATTCTCAATGCGTAAATGATAAAGAAAGTTTTTTGTGAGTTTTAACATCTATATGTGTATATAAAGTTTTTAAATATATATATATATAGATAATATAATATTACATTAGCAATACTTAAGAATTTAAGTAAACAAAATATACTGACAAAACAAAAATAACCATTCTTAGGACTTTAAAAAAAGTGCATCTTCTATGCTCAAAGTTATAGTTCGAAATTCAAAGGGGACAAATAAGAAAATGTATAATTCTTTTATATTCAAACTTGATGTTTGTTCAGATAATTAAAGTTACATTTAGTTTAAAAATAAACATTACTGCATATATAGGACAGGCTAATAAACTACAGAATAAAACACAAAGTGGTAATGGAAAAATATTTTCTGTGATTGTTTTTTTTTAAAGTTTATACTTCATTTGAACGATGATATTGCAGTATAATAGGGAATGCTTTTTATGAAATAAATGAGTAAGGCACTTTTAACTGACTTTGCGCTCCAATCAACTATGTCAAGTTTCATTTTTGCTGACAAGATTGCTGTATTAGACTTCATTTGCCTAAGTAACTGCTTGAATGGGCAAAGAAAATCACCAAAAAGAAATGTAAACAAAAAAATATGTAATTGAACAAAGATGGGTTTAAAATTTGTTACATATATGAAATGAAACCTTATGATTAACAATTTAAATAATTGGTTTGCTTTTTTTTTATGGTACAAAGTTAGTGTATACAAGTGATAATAAACATAGTGAAACTGCATGTGGTATTTGTTGAATAAAAATAAAATTCACTGTTTTATAAAATAACTTTGTAGGAAAACTTTTTAAAAAAATGCAAGAAGACAATTTTCTTAAATGAAGCATAACTAAATCTTTTTAAAATTGCAGAGCTGTGAAGTCTTATAAATGATCTGTAGACAGTTCTTCGGATGTTTCAAATTATTTCAACCATTATTTTTTCAAAGCGGTGAAACAAAATATACAACAGGTGTATCAAATTGACACACCCGGCCTGATAAAGTTAAGTAGACTGACCAAATGCCACTCTTTTAAGACCCATCCCACCCTGCCAATATTAGGTTTGAAAACTTTACCACAATAATGACTTGGATGCAATATGGCATAGCCTTCATAAGATGTTGAAAGATGCCCTGTTTATTTGTCCAAGAGTATGATAATGAATCAGAAATTTCATTAGAGAAGTATGATAAATGTGAAATCAGGGTTCATTTGGATTGGTGCCGGTAAGTGAAGATCATTCAAGTCAACTTCACACAGAATAAAGTGTTGCATTATCATCTTGGAAAAGTTCTTGCCCATTGTTATGATGGAAAACAATTGGTAACAACATTCAGATATGTTCTGAATGTTGTTTGCTTTTACTATACAACCTATGTAGCATGCACTGTCAAAACATCAATGGTTAAATGTTTCATGTGACTTCCTTGATATTCTTGTCATTTTCCTATGTTTGTCCTATCCATTCCCAAGCAAAAGAAGCAAAATCCACTGACCAAAATTTGAGTTATTGCATGCATAATAATTTTAAATCTTTTGAAATGGTGTCTTTCACCTTTTAACTTCAAAATCAGTAGATTTTTTTTCATCTCCAAGCTATACAAGCTTGATTAAAATCTGTTGTTTATAACTTGTATGGAAAGTAGGTTTTCATAGATGAACAGAAAACTAACTCTCCTGATATAATAAATTTTATAGGGGAGATCACACTGAAACTGTTGAAGTCGAATATGACCCAGAAGCTACCACATATGAGGAGCTTTTAGAAATATTTTGGTCAAATCATAATCCACTGCAGAACCACTCCAAGCAATACATGTGTGCTGTTTTCTATCACAACAAGGAACAAAAAGAGCTTGCAGAAAAAACGCTTGGGTATATGCAACAAGGCCATTCAAAACCAATTACCACACAAATCCTGGAGGCATCAACTTTCTATGAAGCTGAGAAGTAAGTACAATGGTATTGATAGTTTGTAGCTATAGGAACTGTAATGTACAGATTATATTGTAAACCAAAACTGTTATTATACATCTTTTGTAACATGTAATAGGTCTATAGACATATATACAATTTCAAGGTTAATTCAGTGTATTTTTAGAAAAAGAGAATTTCAAATTTAGACAAAATAATACCAATTATATGCATATACTATATAACTAACCTCTGTGTTTTAGTATTATAAGAGAATGTGCATCACATTGGAAGATTAAGGCACTCGAAATGTAACATACTTTTTTTAAAAAATACATCAAATTCAAACAAAACTGGACTTATTACAGTTACATTTCGAGCAACAGTTAAATTCAAAATACACGTGTATAAGTAATGTGATTTGGTACTGGGATAAAAGCAAGACAAAATGAGACAATGAGTTTTAGAATAAATATACACCTTAAATACAGTTATAGTGTCTAGTAAAAGAAACAAACAAGTTTAACACTTTGAATTAGTCTAGCGGATGCATTTGCATACAGTTTGAACAAGATATAGTTAAATATTAAAAAAAAAGTGTGATCACAGAAAAATAAATTTTATTTATTCCATGAAGTTATTCAGTATCCAATTTAAAAATTATATTGTGTTTGTTTCTTGTCCTCTTTGTTTTGTCTATTGGTACATGTCTAAGTAGAAATCCTGATGAATAAATCAGTGAAACAGTGTTCACAAAGTTGAATTCAAGGTTGTTATTATGTAGTTTTATTCAATGTTTATGAAGTTGATTTGCCAGTCTCCATGAAATTACACCAATCTAAAACTCCTTATGCTGTATATAGATTAAGAAATAAATAATGCAGGTGGATATCAAAGAGATTTCATGAATTGACTTGGGTCCACATATAAAGGTTCTAGAATCAGTACAGCCACAAATGACACATCTAGGTTTGTTACATCTCTTACTACATTTAGGGTGTAATTTCTTGGTCTGTTTTCGAGTGTGAATAGACTAATATATCTTTTGAGGTTTTGCTCACATCTGTTACAGAACAGAGGCATAGTAGAAAAACTTTGTGATGTAGTAGAATCATTAAGGAGAATTCCAAATTTTTTTGAATTATGTATACAGAAATTAAGAAGAAGATAATAGTAGCTGTCTTATGCAGCTTGTTGTGTCCGATTTTTAAACCGTCTTCACAGGGAGTACTTAGTGCATATCTCTGACTTTCGATACAAAGTGTTTAGGATACTCTCAGTTTTCAGAAAAAGATGACATTTCATCAGCTGTTTTAAAAGTGACTTCATTAGATCAAATTCTTCTTATCCAAAGAAACTGACCTTTAAGAATTGTTTTTTGTTTATAAAAGGGTGAAATGATGTGTAATTTAAAAATGTATAACTATTGGCTGATTTGTTTTATAGTGTATTCTCCGAGATTGTTGTAGTAATGTTGAAGAATGAAACACTTCCTGGAAATGTAAATTGTTTGGTTATGTGATAGGTGAAAGATTTGTACAAAACATAAACGCTTAGTGTTGCCAACTGCAATACCAGGCATATAGTCTCATGTATAGTAAAAGTTGTGTTCCACTGAAGACTTTAAACATCTGTTCTTCCATATAGCCAACAAACATATTGGTTCCCATAACAAGTTCTGTATAAATGAGCCCAATAAACTGATTTAAAGTGCTAATGAACTTTGTATTATCTTACCTTTAATTTCTATTACTAGACACTCATTGATTTGAAATTATAACTAACAATAGTGTTGCGCTTCATAGTTGTTCTAAAATATATGTAATCAATTAATTAAGGTACAAAAAAAAATTAATAACAGATTACACCTTAGATGAAATGTAATTTAATTTTATGGAGATGAAAAAATAAATTAACGAAAGTTATACTTGAAAAAAATATGCAGCTGCAAGACGAACATCCAACACCAGAGAAAAAATCATAGGATATGTCATTATATGATGTGCCCCAGGTTTTTGAGGTACCAGGTTAACCTCAATTTTGCTGGCTTCACGTGCTTAGAAACAAAGAAGAAAAGGAACAGATGTTTGTGCTCTAACCCACAATGTATATATTATTTAATTCACTTCTACATGAATAAGAATGTAGTGTATCTGTACGGAAAAAAAAGTTGAGTATAGGCAATATATTTCGAACTTAACTTGCTCTGAAATTGAAGATGGAGTGAAGATAATTTAGGTGTCAAAAGTTTTGATATTTAGTTACAGTACTGGTTTTTACTTGATTAAACTTGCTTTATCATATGTATTAGTTAATATCTCGTATTGTATATATATTTTATTAACATTTTTGTTTTTAATACATCCAGTGTTTTTTGAATGGTTACAGTGAAATTTCTATATTGATAGGCCCCCCTCATGAGCCAGTGGGGGACATTTTGTTGAAAAAAAAAAAAAAACTAACCAATCTGACTTTTTTTTATTTTAACTGAAATTTTTTTAGACATTCTCTTAATGTTGAGGCTGCAAAAAGTGATTTGAAGTGGTAAGGTGATTGAAATCCATCAGTGCATTACGAGCTTAATGGCTAAGCACAAGAAGCATGGAAGTCTCGAAATGACATGCAAAGATATTCAAGAATCATTAAGAATTACCTAGGTAGATAGTGTGCAGCAAGCAGAGTACAGTATTATACAATAAAGCCACATTCTCAGCATCATTAATTAAGCAACTGCCATCCTTTTATGCTTCTGCTATCACTTTTTAATGCTTAGCTTTCGACTGAGATATGAATGATTTCACCTGCAATTCGGTATGGAAGGTCGAAGCATCACGATAGTCAGCAGTATGATGACCAGACAGAAACACTTTGAAGGCAGCTATAGGATATATACTGAATTTACTCGAAGTGTGTAGACCTTAGTACTAGCTAGTATGGAGACTTGAGGATGCTGTATTTTGCTTCAAAATTTATCAATTAACCAATGAAAACTTGTCTCAAAGGTAAGTTCCAAACCACCCTCTTTAGGAGTTTCCGAATTGAGCTTATTTTTAACATTCAACAAATTGCAGTATAAAGATACCCATTGGCTCCTGAGGGATGTGTTAAATTTACTTTTGCACTATACACTAAACATTAATTTTTATTCTGGATACATTTTATGACTGTAAATTTTTTTTACAGATTAGTTGGAAAGTATATATATTAATTACATGTCATTATTTTCTGTAAATACCACCTTATTATCACCCAAAATCATAAATAGAGGATTAAGACAGGATTTCAAACTTTTATCTATAGCTACCACCAGAAGTACCTCCTTCAGAAACATCCTGCCTTGTGTAAAAATCTTGGACTTGAAGGGGCAAAGCTTATTCAGTCTCACGTTGCTGCTCGCCTGAATGGTTATGTTGGTGGTCATGGTAATGCAGCTGACTTCGAAAAGGAATGGCCACAATGGGGTATCAGTGTTGACATTGCTAAGTACCTTCGTCCATTTCTGAGGTTGCATCATGGTTGTGATTGTTAAAAAAAATTTTGTTTTTTGACAAAATTTTATAAGCGAAATGAGCTATTTTCTTCTGTGACCCATTCATTCAGCACCTGTGTATGAAGTTCTGTGATCTATTCAGCTCATCTGATATCACATAACAGAAGTATTTGTCAGGTCTTGCTGTAGAATGGGCAAGAAGAAAGTTGACATTTTTTACCAAAAAAACTCCATGAAACTCTTCTTTTTAACCCTAATTTTTACAAAGTACATGGTAAATAGATTAATTTATTCAAATAGTTTGGCAGTGTAAAATTATTTCCACAAAAATAGTTTATTCAATAGCATATACTACAAACTAATAATATAACAAAGATAATGCTGTCTAACATTGTAAATTTTGCAATATTATGATAAAATTTTTAAGTTATGTATAATACATGTATAATGAAACAATTTAACAATTTATTATGTAAAGTTAATATTTTATGCATATTACTCCATGAAATATAATTTTTCTCACTTTAAGTATTCTGATTATAAACAAGTAATAAAATATTTGTTTTAAATAAATTATACTCTTATGTTTGTTTACATTTTTTTGCAAATTTTATTTAAAGGTTGAATAGCCTTTTGTGCACAGGTGGGGGTCAAAGTGCACATACCTCAACTTTTTACAGAGTGCCATTGAATATTGTATTAAATGTTGGTGTCTGTCATCAGTTATTCATTTTATCTTCCAGTGCTGATTTAGTGACAGTTCGTGCTAGAGAAGATTAAAAATTTTAAAAAGTGTAAATTTTTGAGATACTAGAGGTTATACAAACTGTACAATGGACAAAAGTATTCTTCAAATGAATATCACCTTGCATTCCAAGTTATCCGAGTCTTATTGAGACTGACAATAATCCACAGACATATCTTAAGTACAGATACTTTGTAACGCATCTGATTTTTTGTGTAAAACAGACTTTTACATATTACTAAAATCTTGTCACATTTTGTGTATATATGCGTAGTTAATTTGGAACTGTAGTCAGCATTTCTTCTCCAGTACTGGATCGGTCCAGTGAAATGTCTCCATGCACATTTGGATAAGAAGAAAATGGGATTTTTTCAGTATTTTATCCACAAGCTGTTAAGGCCTAGTATGGCATGGTGGTTAGGGTGCTCAACTCGCAATATGCAGGTCACAGGTTCAGATCCCCATCACCAAACATCCTCACCCTCTCAGCCATGGAGGTATTATAATGTGACAGTCAGTCCCACTATTTGTTGGTAAAACAGTTGATGGTGGGTGGTGTTAACAAGCTGCCTTCCCTCCAGTCTATCACTACTTTGTGTAAATTTCATAGTAAACCACAAACTTTAAGTTATCTGAATCCTTGTGAACATAAACTGAATGTCTTATTTCAGTACTGTCTTCATAAATATTTAATGAAGTTTCAGATATGCTTGATTTTAAAAAAAACAAAAAAACTTAAAGTCGATACACAAATACCTAATAACTTTATATCATGATAGCCATTTGAAAAGTATGTATTTATTGGGTAATATGTTGAAACTGAACAGTCATAATAACTTAAACAAAAATTGGAGGATTTGACTTGTATATTCAAAATACTGAATAAATAGAACAATAAAAAGAACTGAATAAAAAACACTTTAATTTCTCACTGACTACGAAATATTTTATAGTTTTGAATTAGGTATATATGGTATGCTACAGTTCATTTAAAATGTGTTAAACGATAATTATTCAACAAAATTCACTTTAAGTAAATTCCATTGTTTATTGAATGTATAACAACTTCATAGAATACTGTTTGTTTCAAGCTCCAGTAACTTGACACAGGATTTTGTGTAATCAGCCAAAGTTTTCATGCAAGTAAAGAGCATCTTTATGTATATAAAATAACTCAAGTCTTCTACAAAGAATTGAACGTTTTCTCTCAGTGAGTTTTTATGCTTCTACCTGAAGTGTAAAAAAAGTCATTTTTAGTAATCATCCAAAAATGATGTAAGTTAGGTAGCTTAATGCATTCAGAGGTTGGTCTTGAAGTAAACTACATGCATAGTTGTGTGTGTATGAGCCATTGTAGAGATGAATAGGACTCCTGTTGCTCAGTGGTATGTCTGCAGACTTGCAACGCTAGAAACTGGGTTTTGATACCCATGGTGGGCAGATAGCCCATTATATAGCTTCAAACACACAAATATTTTTACTGTTATTAAAAAACACTCCGTTTCTACTTTTTTATGAAATTGTGCAGCTTGTAAACTTTGATTTTTAAACCCTTTATTTAATGTAAGGTAATACAATACTACTATACACTCTGAATATTTAAAACATTTATCCCTGGTAGTTATAGTAATTGATGTTATGATCATTTGAGTGGATATTAATGAAACCGATTCAGCACATATACAGTATTAGAAATAATTATGGATGCATTGAACAAAATACAAATATTATTGGATTGCTACTCTTCTACTCTGAAAATTAGCTGCACCAGACTACAGTCACATGTTGATTATGATTGGCTGACATTCAACCAGACTGGCACACCAGCATAATGCTACATGTTGATTGTGATTGGCTGACATTCAACCAGACTGACACACCAGCATAATGCTATATGTTCATTGTGATTGGCTGACATTCAACCAGACTGACACACCAGCATAATGCTACATGTTGATTGTGATTGGCTGACATTCAACCAGACTGACACACCAGCATAATGCTACATGTTGATTGTGATTGGCTGACATACAACCAGACTGGCATACCAGCATAATGCTACATGTTGATTGTGATTGACTGACATTCAACCAGACTGGCATACCAGCATAATGCTACGTGTTGATTGTGATTGGCTGACGTACAACCAGACTGACACCCCAGCATAATGCTACATGTTGATTGTGATTGGCTGACATTCAACCAGACTGACACCCCAGCATAATGCTACATGTTGATTGTGATTGACTGACATTCAACCAGACTGGCATACCAGCATAATGGTATAAAAGCAAAGCAGTTGCACTGTTGTTGATTTAAATGCATGGAAGTTAACTCCCGAAATACACCAGTTAATTACAAGATGGGAATTCATTCGCACACGCGATCCTGTTTTAAAGCCACTTATTAACAACAAAAACAATATCAGAAAGCTTGTACAAAAACAAGAAAACTGGGACAGATTTTGTCAATAGATAGCTCGCATGTAAATCCAGTACTATTCTGGCATAAATTCAAATCGGTCACCAAGAATCAGTCTAAGAGCAACATTAACACAAATATAATAACATGACCGCTTCGACAGATAGCAAACAAGCTGACATATTCGCTTAATAATTTAAAAGCACGTTTGTAACACCGAGTTTAGCATCCTTTGACACAACACAATTTGAACACGTAAATGACCAAGTAGACAACAATTATGATATTTTATTGCTAGTGTTCCTGATATACAAACAGCAAGCCAACCATTCGCACATTTTATTCATGCGTCCTATATCACGTTCAGAAATAAAACAAAATTTAAAAAAAGTCAAACGGAAAGCACCAGTTGAAGATGGTATTAACAGCGAATCTTGAAACCTCTCTCTGAACCGATTTTGGAGCATCTAATTGCATTATATAACCCATCATGATACTACCCTAAGACATGGAAAGCTGCTACCATCAAAGTGATACTTAAAAATAATGACCATAGCAACCTTGGTAACTATAGTCCTATTAGCCTATTAAACACGTTAGGAAAGTTAACGGAAAACTTAACACTAATATACTTAATTGCTACCTCGAGTCAAACAAAATCCTGAGTAATAATCAAAATGAAGAAAAACAGGCAAACCTGATGCCACCTTGTTAGATTGACCAAAGGCTTCAACAGAAAACAAATCACAATAGCAATCTTCCTCGATGTACAAAAATGTGTTCGATTCAGTATGGCGCAACGGGTTAAGGTATAAGTTACATAATATCGGAATTCTCACCCCAATAGTACAGTGGATGTCAAGTTTCATGTATGGTTAGTTACACTCTATTTACTTAGGACTTTAGGATATTTTTTATTTTTTGGGGTTTCTCTATGGTTTCGAAGATTTTCCCTCGGGACGTCTTCTACTTTTCTTTAGAGAGAACCTTTGCCTCGTGGATCTTGATGTTTGTGGCCCCTCGGGGCTGTTGAACAGAGATTCAACACTCGGCGTTATTTATTTTTTTATGTTCACTATTTAGGATAATTGATTTTACTTACTCTATGTCTTGTTTTTCTGGAGGTTTTTCTCTTCTTGTTTCACGATCTGGGTAGACATCACTGGAAAAGGAAAGGATTAGATCTACAGAATAACACTTAAACACTTGCACATAGGTGAAGATCACCCGGTAATTTGCGGTAGGTGAAGTCACTGTATCACTTTCGGTCCATTCCCAATAAAAGGCACAGAACCTGAGTTCATCATCGGGCGAAACACGAAGAGCACACACTGTATCAGGGTCTAACCCTCCAGCCCCATGCTGTTCGCTTAACTCAATTATCTATTTATTTCTTCAATCTATCTGCATATCTATCTCCCGCTGGCTTTATTTGCCGGGCTTATATACTAAAAAAGAGGGCGCCTGGCAAACTCTTGGACATTCGCGGAGTTCCTCGATAATTCATTATCCTTCTAGAAACTCCAGCGCGCATGCTCCCAGGGTCACGTGACTTCCGCTGTCGTAACAGTATACACTAACTTCCCAATACGGAAACGATATAGCCATTTGGAGCACATTAAGTAACGCCTAAACAGCAATTTTACAGAGTATAAGCCTCTCTTATTACAGTATCTTAATGATATAATAAATGGTGCGTTGCCCTTAATCCTATCAAAATACAAGCAATCGCTTTCGCAAAAATATTAAGTCCAGGAGAAAGATCAGAAAATTAAAGTTACAGCTTAATAATACAACAGTAAACTTTTCTAACCATATTAAATTTCCAGGGCTAGCCTTCTCATCTAACCTAGACAGGTGTAAACACTTTAAAGATATTATTAGCAGAACTAGTACCAAAATCAATTAGCTAAGATGTATTGGTGGCAGCAACAAAGGTTGCTCCCCAAGAACCATTATCCCGATCTATAAGGTTTAAATTAGACCATTATTCTAGTATGGTAACGTGTAACATGACAGACAAACAATAAATTACAAGTTCTTCAGAATAGAACAATCAAAATAGATCATTGACTCCCAAATTACACTCCATCTGAATAGATCCATTCTCTAGCTGAACCCCCCCTCCTAAAATAACGTTTTATCAATCTCGTTTCCTGATATTACAAACGCTGAACGTCAAGGAATGCGCAAACACAAGAATTCGCCCGAAATGCATCCACGCCGCCTCAGTATCTCGATTGAAGTTTAACCAACGTGTTTATGTATATATATGCAATAACCAAAACATCTCATTTTCAGCTATGGGCACGGGACAGGTATAATTATTCGGCCCTGTCCAGTGAAAAGAGGTTTTTTTCGGGGTACTCCGGTTCCCCCCCCCCCACATACACACATAAAAAT